AAGAATCATGCATGGTAGTATATTGACTCTGGTAATAATTGCATTACGCTGCCTCAGAAGGTAACCAGACTTTAGTTCTCAGGTACTTAGTTTGTGTAATTGTTCATATCTGGCTGGTGCCTCATTAGAATAAGAACAGTGTTGTCAGAAATCTGATAATATGATACTAGCTTCCACTTCTTGAAATGAATTCTAGGCTTTGTTCTCAGTTCACCAAGGGGCTAGCAATCGATTTCACCATTGACAGTGAAGCATGATCGATTCACCGCTTTAGGGACCCTGATGTATCATTTGCAAATGTAACTTCAAGAGAACAGATCAATAACATGAGATGTATTACCTCAAATGAAATGGAACAGTCACAGCTGGGAGGAAATGGATCAGCTCATTTTTTTTAACAATGGCCCCCTATTTATTAAACCTATAGAATGCTACAGCTGGTGAAGTGAAGGGGATTGTTCACTATGCTACTGATTCATGTTGACAGTATCCCTAGAACGTTCATAGTTATCATTTTTACACAATCTCTCCTGAGGGAATTTGCTCAGTATGAGTAAGACATGATAGCCAAGGCACTTTAATAGCTGCTGTAAGAAATTGGCATTTCTAGAAAACATTTTCTAACTGTTCACATTATTGCCTTAAATAAGGGGAGAGCCTAAAAAGGTGACCTGGCCAAACATTGATTATCAAATCATGAGATGCAAGAACAATAATGTTACATAGTGCCTGTGGAGCACAAGACAGGTAGTTGTGCACAGCACCTGAACTTCTTTTCAATTGAAGTTGAATTTGACTGTCTGTGGTTTGGTAGTAAAGTGATCCTGTTGTTTTCCAGCAATTTCCAGTGAATCTGAGCATAGTGTTGAGCATTCTTTATTGACACCTCAGGTGTTTGGTTGCAAATAACCAGTTTTGAAAAAAGTACATTTAGGCTAATGTATTAATTGTGTGAGTACAGCACAAGTGGATCAAATCAAAGAGCACGGAGTTTCCTTAAATCAAAGAGCACCCAATCTTGGCTCTACCATGTGGGGAAGAGTTGGCTAGAGAATCACCAGCTACTGTCACATTTAGGGTTCCTAAAATGACCAGGAGTTTCCTGCTAATTGGAAGATGCATAATTTAAATTTTCAGTGGCAAGTGATGCAAGCTGCAGACACTTATGTGTAGTAGTAGTGTAGGCGGCTGAGGGGTGACCTTATAGAGGTGTATAAAATCAAGAGGGACATGGATAAGGTGAATAGTCAAGGTCTTTTCTCCAGGATAGCAGAGTCCGAAACTAGAGGGCATAGGTTTGAGGTGAGCGGGGTAAGATTTAAAAGGGACCTAAGGGACAACTTTTTAATGCAGAGGGTGGTGTGTATGTAACAAGCTGCCAGAGGAAGTGGTAAAGATGGGCACAATTACAACATTTAAAAGACATTTGGACAGGTATACAGACAAGGAAGGTTTGGAGAGATATTGGCCAAAAATAGGCAAATGGGACTAGTTCAGTTTTAAGAAACCTAGTCAGCGTGGATGAGTTGGGCTGAAGGGTCTGTTTCTGTTCTGTATGACTCTCTGACTCTAGTATTATTAATAATTATGAATAATTAGCCTCGTATGAGCAATCAGAAAGTGGTTAAAGGGTTTAATTTTAAACAGAATCATTTCTCAATGTTTACTGGGATTTGATCACTTGGCACTGTTTTGGAAAAATCTAAAAGACAGGTTCTAATTGTCATTTCTAAAATAAAATGGAGAAGCACCTGAAAGAAAACAATTTGTAGGGCTGACGGAAAAGTACTGAGGAATGAAACTAGCTAAGTTGCTTTTGCAGAAAACCACTGCAAAGACAACAGGGAAATTGGTCTCCTCCTGTGCTGTAACTTAGTGTTCTGTAATTCCAGGATTCTGTCATGACAACAGTGGAGGATAAATAAGCTGCCCTCATTTAAATTAATCTATAAGCAAATTTGAACACAACAGCCATGGAAGTCAACATAAAAGGAACAAAAAAAGTTGTTGTAGAATTACGTTTTTCAACCTTCAGGCTTTTTATAGCACCAGTTCATTAATTATTTCCATATCTTGTAAAGAACCAACTCAGAGAAAAGACCAAAGTAACAGAAGAAGGCAAGAGGAGATGATGAATTCAAATCATTCAAGTGTTATGTGTATACACTTGTCTATAGTAATATTGCAGTTAAATAACCTACTCAGTAACTTCTGTTTATTGATACTGGTGGCCTAGATTTATGAAATGTTCCTTTAAGTTTTTCTTTTTCATGGGGAAATAGAACACTTCTGTTTGGTTCGATGTTGTAGTCTGAATTCCCGTTCCCTGTCCTCCTTCCTACCCACTCCAAGAAACCTTGACAACATAAAGCTAATTTTTGCAAGAGTACTGAATCTGGCTTCTCTAAATTTTATTCACTCTTTCAGCTCCTCACTCACTTTCTCTGATCACTTGCTTGAAATACCTGATTTCACAATAATTCCCACAGCCCTTTCTAGCACACGCATGCCAGAATTCATACCTTCCTATGGTAAGTTGATCTCCCGCATGACTGTTACACCGAATGCCAGCTAATGGTGATGTGGGAACCAAGGCTTCAACAGACGGAATGTTTGGGCAGTGCGTATAATAGGTGATTAATCCAGCAAACCCCATTATGTGCCCCTCCTAAAAATGTGTTTCATGCTATAAAGTGTAAGATACGTCTGGTGTTGGCACTTTCACTGGCGTTAATAATTAGATGAGAAAGGTAAGAAAGAGCAGAATTAAGAGAAAGATGGAAGATTTTAGACATTATCACTGTGCAAAGGTGATAGCCTTAAAGAGCAAGATATGGGAATATAGGGGTTTTTGAAGGTGAGCTTATAGTATTAATCTTGGTCAGTGAGGTAGATAGGAAACCATTAGATAATGAGAATGATCTTTTCAGGATTTTACTTTGGAAACGAGGCCTCATGTTGAACTGGGAATGACATGTTGGCAGCGAACATTAAGTCATTGTGCAATCTGGAATTATGGGTTTCACAGAAGTTGTATCAAATTGAATAAATTTTAATATATTTCCTGACCTTGGCAGGTTGAAAGCTTGGCTGGTTGGTGGACTGAAGCTGGGCTGGTGGTTAGAAATCATGAGGTGGGGGGAGACTGATAATTGGGGAGAGGAGCTGGACAATGCGGAGGATCCAGTTAAGAAGATAGAAGTGGGTAATGTTGCTGAACCAGATGGAAACGCCCCTGTTCTTTTTGGTCCATAATCACAGTGCTGTGTTGTTCCATTAAACCATTCTCCATTTGTTGATTGGTGTTAAATCTGGAACAGAGATCAAATATTAGGCAAACCAAAACAAAAACAAAATACTGAAATAAAATCAGAAAGTTCTGCAGAAATTCAGCGGATCTGGCAGCATCTATGGAGAGAGAAAGATTTTGACCCCATTATGACTCTTCTGTGGATCCTGATCTTTAGGCATGCAGCCTCATTGAAATATTTTGGTTGTTTCCCCTAACAATGCCCAGTGCATCATCAATCAAGTCAAAAGTTGGAGGCTGGTTTCCCTTTTTTCAAATTCATTAACCATTCCCTCAAGTTTCTGAGAAGTGTATAGTTATATAAATAGTAAATGGTTTGTAAAATTATAATCTGGAATGCTACATAAACTTCTTTTTTAATCAGATTATAGACTTCAGAGTTCCTGTCATTCAGTCAATATGTTGGAGACTTAAAGAGTTATTTAAAACAGTCATATTGCTGGGGAAAGTGCATATTGCAGCAAGACATGCCATCTCTGAGAGAATGGAGGGGTGCGATAGCAATATGCACATCTCCTTTTGGCACTAGCTAATTGCAGATTAAAGCTTTATATGGCATTGGCTCAATAATTCTATAATTATTAACGTTATCCTTTCTTGTCAGCTAACTAACTGAATCACAACCATATATACCGATAGTATTCAACATCTGCAAATTAAGGCTCTGGTTAAATGGCATTCTAAATTCCTTCTGATATGCCCCAGAAACATAACCATTTCTAACCTCAAAGGTAGATGCCAACCAAAAAAGGCATGATTTTTTTTGTGAGTTTCTTTATCCCTGATTTTAGAGATATAAATTAGTGGTATATTTACTTTCACTATTGGTAGGATAATAGGTTGGCACAACATCGTCGGCTGAAGGGCCTGTACTGTGCTGTACTGTTCTATATTCTATAATAACTGACAGCGCAGTTCAAGAACGTACATGTAGTGATTTGAGATGTTTTTGACAGTTGTGGTAAAATGGTATAGAGATGCAAGTTTCTCCTACACTTGGTGCCAAACATGTATTTGGAACGTGGTTCCTATCTATTGGAATAGATTACAAATTTGTGAATACCAGACCATTTTCAATTTGGATTCTTTAGAATTATCATTAAAAACATCAACCCAAGAGAGCTAAATCTGTACCCAGAGTACAGAGGTGAATGATACAAGGTGTAATGACATTGAAATGATGAATGGTTTTTCACAAGCCTTGCAGTTCAGTATGTCACAACATTTCATTTTTGTGACTTTATCAGTAATTTGGTTTGGAAAGCAAGATCAGAATTCTGCTCAAGATGTTGTATTTGCAAAACGCACAAATGGGTTCCGTAACAAATTGACTGAGCGCTTTGACCTAGTTAAAAGAATTGTGAAGTATACCGTTCTTCATTACATGTGAGCCTGCAGTTATATACTCTGGAAATTAAAAGAAAATTTGTGAAATCTTCAGGTTAAGGAAGGTGTTGGCAGACTAAGCTAAGTAATAGAGGAAGTTGTCCATGGACGCTGTCTGACCCACTGTGATCTTCAGCATTTGATATTTTCAGTACAGATTCTAGCATCTGCAATAATTTGCTCCTGATTGGTTAAAAGTAATTGTTTATTTAAATACAGGAATGTAAGAGAACTACTATGGATGCTACAGAATTGCCAAAGCAACAGTGATTCATGATCAAAGTTCATTTATTTCTTTTGATAGGTATCGAGTGCTGGTCCCATATCCTCCTCAGAGTGAGGCAGAGATTGAACTTAAAGAAGGTGACATAGTGTTTGTTCACAAGAAGCGGGAAGACGGATGGTTCAAAGGCACATTACAGCGAAATGGAAAAACTGGTTTATTTCCAGGAAGTTTTGTGGAAAGCTTCTAAGAAGCCTGATGTTTATGGACATCTGATATTTTTATCATCTGAATATCATGGCTATTTGGCATTAAATAAATGTAGATAAACATTCAAGCACAACGTCACAGCAATCAAGAATTTACATCCACTGCCATATCACTTCCAAAGAAATCGAAAAGACCCTATCTGTTGCAATGGTTCATTGACAAGACCATTATTATATAAAGATGTACATACAGAGGTATGTTGAAGCAGTGCCTTCCCCATGAAGCCACAGACTGAGAGACAAGTACATTTGCTTTTAAACTAGACTGAATTACATTTATTCTCTACTGTGTAAATTATAAATTTGAACTTTTTTAAAATAGAATTTTGATATATCACCATAACTTATTTGGTAAGGTTAGCACAAATAATGAATGATTGTATGTGAGGTGCTTTCTCTGACAAGGCAAATAATTTTTCTTCTTTTGGTCTAATAATCAGAAATCAGAAAGTAATTGGATTAGATTGGAGCTGTCAACTCACCAGAGAAAAAATGCAATTTAAAACCAGTCAAATAATATGTTACTTGCAGTTTAATTATAGTAGTAAGGTGACTTTGGCTAATTCAGACAAAGCAGCTATAAAACCATTATCAAGTTGTAGCAATTAGCTGACCATATTAGATATCTGAAAATGATTCAGTCATATTATGACAATCAATTTGGCCTGACTATACAGAAATATTTGGCCTGAATATACAAAAAACAGCTAAAGGTAAGTTCATAAGTGAGAGAAAATGTCTCTAAAATATTGTCAGTGTTTGTTAAAGAGAATTCTGTGTGTTTTTTTTCTCAAGTTGCACACTATTAATGAAAGTTATCACCACTGGAGACAAGCAAGCATGTTCTGACTGAACAATTGTAATGGAGAGCAGAAGACAAATAATAGGCTTTTTGCCTATTTCACTATTCACATAACAACATCAATATCTAAAGAATGTCAGTTAGTAACTACCAAGGTGACAAGGACATATAGTTTCCCAATACATTTGTTTTCCTATTTCCATCACACTTAGAGGCTGATTTCTTGTTGCTATTCGATTGATTTGTTGTTGACCTACAAGTATCCTTGTGATTGAGTAATGTGCCATTTGCTGATTTCCACTATTGCAGTGGAGGAAAGGGATCACTTTGTTCTGCAGTACTCCAGCACTTACAACAAAACATGCAGGTTTGCCATTGAAATTTATGGCCATCAGCTCAGGATGCTTGATGCCAGCGAATTAACACGATAACTGACAGAATAAATGACAATGACTTCTGCTACTCAATCCATTTCTGAATGTTTCCTTACAAATAAATCAGTACGTTGCATCAAATTCCATACCTCTCTAGTTTTGACTAGGGAATAATGGACCCCCAGTAACAGGAATTACGTTACTGCAATAAATCACTTAAAATCCGCTTCTAAGCTAACTTGCTGCCTGTAAGGGGAATGGTTGGAATGCAATAACCAGATTCATGTCTAGGCTGGAAAAAAAGTCTGCCAGGATTTCTCTTTTTGATCAATGGCTGCTGCTGGATTATGTTCATGTACTTTTTGGGAAGGAGGATAACATTGTGCTGGGCTTCACCACTAATCATCTAGCTTTCCGCAGGAATGTTGACCACTTACTTAGATATTTAAGGCGTGTTGGCACCTATAGAACTAGACCCCAAAAAGAAAGAAACATTACAGCAGGGAATTTAATAAATATAATTATTTGCATTCTTTAATGCTGCCCTGAAAATGATACCCATTTAGAGTTATAGAATTACAGCACTAAAGAAGGATATTTGGCCCATCAAGTTTGTGCCAGCTCTTTCAAAGATAATTCCAACAAGAAGAATCCCATGTTCTTTCCTCGGGTCCATGTAATATTTCCTGCTAGCTCTTTTTATCCAATTCCCTTTTAAAGGGTAATATCAAATTTGTATCCACCACTCCATCAAGCAGTGCATTCTGAATCCTAAACATTTGGATTTTTCTTTTTCATGTTGAGTTTAGTTAGCTAATCTATTTGGTTAGTCTTAACTTGCTTCACTTTATATACATATTGATCTTGCAGCATTTTGCCTTTCAAAGTTTCACTTTCCCTGTAATGAAGTGCTATTGAACAAACTTCACAAACCTCTTAATGGTCATGGACATGATACTTTTGACAACTTGCTGAGAAACAGCCACAATAAAATATTGGATATGTTTTGAGACACTGGAATCTCTTAGTCTCTTCTTGAAGTTAAATCATATCAAGAAGTGTCTCAATAGTTTGGAAACTATTCCAATTTTTTCTAGGGTTAAACAGCATATGTTTTGTTGGTGATAACACCTAAAATTGTTCTTCCACCATGAGCAGGTTGATTTGAGAGTTTAAATATATTTTCTTCCTAGTGGTAGCTATCTTCTGTGACCATTAGAAAGATGATTCTGTCCAATTGCCAATTTTATACCATTATAATTCATGCACAGTAGAATCCTATTTTGCCAAATACAGAATTTCATTTCATAATGAGACTTCTGGCTGAAAGTGATAAATATTTCAATAATGTCATTTCCATTGATTTTTACCTCCGTTGACAATAAGACTGACAAATGACAAGTCAGATAACAAGTAGGTTAGTGGTCACATTATCCCAACTTGTTGTTTATCAGCCTGTTCCCTTACAGTCAGGGATGAGAAGTGAATAAAAATTGAAACAATTGCAGAAGTCAAACTTTAGGTTACCACCTGCAGTGATACCACTCCCTGATATTGCTCATGAGGAACATGGTCTTTAGGAAATGTCAGAGTATGTGGAGTGTTTTGGATCTGGAATTCATACTAAATGAAATGGAAGGGTGGTTCAAGTTTGATAACTTGGCATCTACACATCTCTGGATACTTGCATTATTATAGCTTCACAGTGGGTTTTAATGTGGTTTACATTTACACTAAACTCCAGGAGGATGTTCAAGGTCTGATTTGCCAAAGTCTCACAGTCCATTTTTATTCCTGTGCCTCTTACATGTTTCTGTAAGCTCAGCTTTTATCACTGTTATTTTATGAGACTCATTGAATGTATGGTTTAAATTAGGCTCTTCTATTTATACTTGGCTCATCATCAATGAAGAATAAGGGTGTTTAAAATGTACGAATAAATATAGGAGCTTAATTCAAGATAAATCTAATATGCTAAATAACGCTTTTATATGTGATTATGTGAACACAGATACAGTGGTTGTCCTACTTACAGTGAATTACATGCCCTATCCTTAACAAGTAAAATAATTATGATCTCTCAACAATGAATTCATTCTAAATTTCATAAAACTGATCAAGACAAAACCAGAGAAAATGTACCTTTTTTCCACAAGTGATAAAAAGTGTCTCAAATTATCATTTGCTTTATTACACTAGTTCACATGCTGAAGAATATTTCATACATTGCCAGAGATAGATCCAGCACAAGAATATAAGAGCGTTCTGATTTTAAAGGAGCATTCAGCTGGAACTTCAATACACTGCTGTACACCAAATTGATATGTGCTCTCAGCCTGATGAAACTGATGATTGCAGTTCTGATTATTTTCCTGCCCAAACATATTTACTAAATCCTTCTTCATGAAGACAATATTTCTTCATATAGACCTTTGCATACTCATTACAGATGTGAAGTGAAGTAAAATATATATGAAAACAACCAAGGAATTATGATTCACGATATCTTTCTCCCAGTTCCATATCAACAACTCACCAGGAGAGGTGATCTCAGCTAACGTTAAATAGGCTGTGGAATAACAGTAATTAAGCATTAAGGGTTTTCCCTGTAAATATTACATTGCTTTCATTACTGTAATTATAATGCCCTAGATTTTTTTAAAAAATGTTTTGGCAAAATGGTAATTATGATTTTTTGCATGGACTAGTAAGACCACGCCACTATTTTACATACAATTAGTCCTTTTAACAGCGTACGTTGATTACTTAAGTAGCAGTGACCTAGCCATTTTGTCACGTGATCCAAGTACAATATAGTTTGAAAGTAAGACATGATGACAATATGTATTACTAGTTACATTTATGCTCTAAATATCTAAATGCGCAGAAAAAAAATCAATTAATTTCATCTCAGAGTCCTCCAGGATAACAGAAACAAAGTAGATCTTGTTGTAAATTCTATGCCGTATCAGCTCAGCTCGATCAGCTTGCCCCCTTTGTGAACAACTTTTGCCATAAGGAACTAATCAAGATTTTGCAATGAAGTATAGCTCGTTCTTTACACAGTGCAATTAATGTAGGGAATCTAATGGGAAGAAGTGGCGACTATTTTATATCGAAATTTTCACCCATTTTAATTAGGAAAGAGTTCATAACTGCTGTCAAATCAAATTTTGAGCTGGGTCTCCATTTTCCTTCAAACCAGATCACTTATTGCCACAATTAGAATTCTTCCTTTAAGGACGTTGAAACAATCCATACAAAAGCTGCACCCTTTTAAAAAATAAGCATTAGAAAAGAAACATATCTTCATTATTCTTTGTTTCTCTTGATTTGTTTTTAGCATTTTTGTTTATGCAGGCTCATGTGATCGCATCATTAGCAATCTGGATTGAAGGAGTTACTGAAGTGAGAATAACATCAGCAGAGATACATTCTTATTATCCCAAGATCATTTAATAGCATTCTCACATTAACTTTGCATGTTTTAATTCAGAAGTTCTCAAATGGTTAAGCTCAATGGTTTACAATTATGACCCCCTCCTTCAGAGGTCTTTAACATTTCATTCACCCAAAGAACCAAAATTATTCTTGCAAGACACAAGCAGACATTTTTTTTTCAGTGCTTTGCTTTTTACAAACATACAAGGGCTACTTGATAAACTTCATGAAATGCAAATATGAAATTAACTGCTAAATTAGTAAACTGTGTCACCTCAGTATCATAATGCTTTCAGTTGTTGCTCTTTGTAGTGTATTCTGCTGTAGAAGCAATTGCTATGTTATATTTGGTTCAGATAGCACCAAACTCTGCCCACACTGACATACTGTGCAGCAAAGTCACCCTTTGCCTGCTGTGAAACAGCTTACATTTTACCATTTGGAATGATGGCCCTTAGAAGAGACATTATTTTCTGTTTCAGCGTCACTTGAAAGGAAACAAAAATATATTATGATTAGAGCTAAGCATTGGAAGAACAATACTGACATTAAACATTATTCAACAAGGAACTTACTCTTTATACAAACCAGTTAAATTATCTTAGACAACAAGGTGCAGGGCTGGATGAGCACAGCAGGCCAAGCAGACCTTGTTGTCTCGGATTCTCCAGCATCTGCAGTTCCTACTATCTCCAGTTAAATTATCTTGTTTTGCTGAAAGTTCTATTGCAGTTGACTGAAAAAGTCATGATGTGTTTGTAAATAGATTTCAAAACTGCTCTGAGCTATAAAAAAGTGTTTGATGTACATTTGTCCAAGTCACCTTATGACTTTTAAACAGTCACATTTAATTTCCAAACTAACAACTATTGCATAATTGTTACACTCTTATTTGAGGGAACAAAATACATTTATCCATTTTTACAAAATGCTTTTTTTTTAAACATACATTTGTGTGACCTTTTGTCCAACAGTAATAAAGTGTTAAATATGATTAAATCTCCCTCAAGTGTGGATTGAATGGTATTAATTCTATTTGGATCACCATTTACTGTTTCTCCTGAGTGAAGACCTTGACTGCATTGATATCAAAAATACAGAATATTTCCAATTATATTTAAAGCAACAGAAAAAAAAACTTTTCATTATTGTCTTTCTTTTTAAAGCATAACTAAATTAGAAGTATGTAAAAGATTTTAGATTTTGGATGATAGGTGTCAGAAAACAAAAGTTTGATTTCATTATAGCTCACTCTTTCAGCACCAAGCATTTTTCTCAGACTCATGAGGTTGGGATTACAACACTTAATGCTGATTAATATATAACACAAAACTGAGTTGCAGATCACCAGCACTTTAGCGACAGTAGATTATTTATTGGTTGGCCAATCAAGGCAGGATTTATACAGTTAATGGTAAGGTCCTGGGGACCATTGCCAATAATAGGGACGAAGGTGCATAGTTCCTTGAAAGTGGAGTCGCGGGTACACAGGTTGGTGAAGAAGGTGTTTGGCACACTTGCCCTCATTGGTCTGTGCATTGAGTATGGATGTTGATACGTCATGGTGTGACTTTACAGTGCATTGTTGAAGCCAATTTTAGAATACTGCATTCAGTTCTTGTCTCCTTGCTATAAGAAAGATGTTGTTAAACTTGAAAGTGATCAGAAAAGATTTGTAAGGATGTTGCTGGGATTAGAGTGTTTGAGCTATAGGGAGAGGCTTAATAGGCTGGAGCATTTTTCCCTGGAGCATCAGAGGCTGAGGAGTGACCTTATGGAGATTTATAAAATCATAATGGGGATGGATAGGGTGAATAGTCAAGGTCTTTTTTTCCCCAGGGTAGGGGAGTCCAAAACTAGAGGGTATAGGTTTAAGGTGAGAGGGGAAAGATTTAAAAGCAACCTGAGGGGCAAAATTTTCACGCAGAGGGTGGTGTGTGTATGGAAGAAACTGCCAAATGAAGTGGTGGAGGCTGGTACAATTACAACATTTAAAAGGCATCTGGATGGGTATATGAATACGAAAGGTTTAGAGGGATATGGGCCAAATACTAGCAAATGGGATCAGATCAGTTGGCATGGACAAGTTGGACTGAAGGGTCTTTTTCTGTGCTGTAATACTCTATGACTCTATATCTTTATGTACATGAAAGAATTGTCCAAATAGAGACTAAATGGAACAATTTTGAAATGGAACTTGTAGCAAATTAAACAGAGAAAACTCATTTGTTAAACAAATATTAAATTACATCTTTTTCCAGGTAGTAGGCATGTACAAGTTTCTCTTGTTGGTCGCCAGATCCCAGTTCTGTTGAAAAGTCATCAACCTTAACCATTAACTCTGTTTCTCTGCCCACAGAGGCATTTAGACCGGTTGATTATTTCCAGAATTTTCTGTTTTTATTTGTCTAAGATTTTTACACCTTCACATTGTGACTCTTCTCAGATACAAAACAAACAGGGAGATTGTACTTGACTGATTTGCAAGGAGCAGATTGGTCAGAACGTGATAGGGAACTACAGTTAGAGATTCCATATTGGCAGTAAGAAATTTAGCTGGGCCTTGGTCAGACAGGGAAAGCTGCTCTTGAGGGTCACAGCAGCAGATCATTCCATGTACAGGGTAGGGATTATTAATTTGGTTTGGGGGAGTTGGTTGTGCAGGAATTACATGCTGTGGGGAAAACGTGATGGAAGAAATGGGACAGAGACACGGTGTGGGGTGTTGGGCCTCACATCATGGGGAAGATGTCAGGGACTTGATAGTGTGAGGGTTAGCTTGGGTGCTGGAGGGTTAATGTTGAGAAATTCATGTTGGTTGGACCCTCAGAAGCAAGACCCAGTGGGATTGGCGTTTCCAAACTTGGAGGCTTCTCAGGCCTAGCACTTGGTCCAGGGCAGGGTGGGGAAGCTTGGGAAGGTTGGGTATCTCATGAATGCATCAATATTGAGCTTTGATGAAGTTGCCAGCTACCCCAATGCCAAGGAAACCTGACCAACGAGAATTAAAGTTGAAAACTTTCAAAGTTCACTGCTTTGTGATCAGATTTCAAGTTCCAGCCTACCTCACTGGGTCTGAGTGACTCCCTGCCCAACCTCTGGCCTCTGTTGGAGCTGGGAATGTGCAGGTTGAATACTGGTTTGGGTTGGGAAACAGATTTAATCTCTGCCTGTCCCTTCTGAACTATGCCCCTGACACAAACCTGCCAGGTTTTAGGTTCAAATTAATTTCAAAAAGCCAGACAATTAACCCCCCCATTCAAACCTATTACTGCAATGGCTGAAAAGTTCCAACAGCTTTCAACAGAAAGATGCACAAAACTTGCCAATTGAGCAAGCAGGCCTCTTTATAAATTCCAAGCAAAGTTTTGGTATTCCTTTACAAATTTTACTGGTCTTGAATCCTCTGTGAAGCTCAAGTTCTATTAAACATTACAAAGGGCAGAATCCCTGAAACTACTATAGACTTAACCATTCAATGTCCAGAAATGTAGGGCTGAATGTTCCCAGAGATCAGCTAAGTGCCAATTTCAGAGCCTTTCTTTGGAGGGTTTCCATCCATAAGGCCTAATGGCTTTTCTCACACAATTTGATGCTGCTCACCTCAGTAAGTATACACCATGCCTCCAAAGTGTTGTTCTCATGCTATCTTGCAGTAGCAGTGGTGAATTTCTCATCAGTGCCTGGAACATCTAGCATTCAGGCCATAGGCACAATATTTAAACGCCACCTAAGCACATGTCAAATGCTGCCAGCCTGGTCTGAAGTCACGGCACAAAGTTAAACCATATCCCCTTTAAATTCAAACACACACACATACATTCATTCACAAATAGGGATGGACCAGACAAATGAGACAGACAGTTTTGTGGCAATATTGTGGCAGAAAGTATATAGGCAAAATGAAAAATTCTGTGGGTCAAGAGACCAAACTACAAAGGGAAATAAGGTCACTTTCTCACAGATCTTTGGGCTTTTGGCAAAGATATCACTTTGGTGTGAACTGCCAATTCCCAATTTAGTAGATCAGTTGGGCCTAGGTCCTTCACTTGAGTTATAGGTTCTTCATTTCAAAGTCTTGGAATGCTGGTTTTCTTCCATTTACAGAGGGACAGAGAGAAACAGACAGATGGATAGACATATTTTGCTTGCAGGTTTTGGAGTTCAGCGTCCCATTTGCTCTTTTCTCAGTTCTGTGACAACACTGCTGCTTAAAATGAAACCAAATGTTACTGCAGGACAGTTTCTTGTTTTTCAACCCAAAGTACCTGTCTCTCAAAAGGATCAAACCCAGTTGCAGCAGAAGTTACATGGTCTGGTGTAGCTAATCAGTAAACACCATACATTTCCACTTTTGCTTTGAGTTGTTCTTTGTCTGCACCATGGGAATCAAACCTTCTATTTTCCCAATGTATATTCCAAATAAAATTGATGTAGCTCTTACAATATGTGTGTGACAAAAGGGTAGGGTGGCTGGGTGGTTAAGTGGCAGTTGTGTATGGAGCAGGTGGGTATGCTGATAACTGTGTAAGGTTAGACAATGAGGAAAATACCTGGTGAGTAGGGAGTTGGCTATGATTGGAAGGGTGGCATGATAGTGGAGTGTTACAGTAAGTAGAGTGGCAGAGATGGTAAGGTGGCAGGTATATAGATGATGACTTAGGGTAGGCCGGGTGAGTCAAGTCATGTCAGGTTGGACTTACAGTTGTTGGGACAGGTCTGAGTGTTGGGGACAGTGTGAGGAGAGTCACAGGGTGAAGTATATTGTGTTGGGTAGAGTTTTGTTGAGGAAGGTGTTGAGATAGGGGTGCAGATGGACGAATCAGTGCTGTAGAGTGACTGTGGAGTGTTGGAGGAGTAGTCGAGTGGGTTCAATTTTATAATTACCTGTGTGTTAAAATAGATTCTAATTCGTCTAATGTTTCCTAGATAACCAGTCAATTAAGATCATCAAAAAACTCAGGCTTCCATCTCTAACTCAGAGTTAACGACTTTATTAAAGGGTTCCTATTTCCTTTGTGAGGGGCAGGTCATACCTCACAAGCCTTAGTGAATTCTTTGAGGATGTGACAAAACACATCGATGAAGGTAGAGCAGTGGATGTGGTGTATATGGATTTTAGCAAGGCATTTGATAAGGTTCCAAATGGTAGGCTCATTCAGAAAGTAAGGAGGCATGGCATTCAGGGAAATTTGGCTGTCTGGATACTAAACTGGCTGTCCAATAGAAGACAGAGGTTGGTAGTAGATGGAAAGTATTCAGCCTGGAGCTCGGTGACCAGTGGTGTGCCGCAGGGATCTGTTCTGAGACCTCTGCTGTTTGTGATCTTTATAAATGACTTGGATGAGGAAGTGGATGGGTGGGTTAGTAAGTTTGCTGATGACACGAAGGTTGGTGGAGTTGTGGACAGCATGGAGGGCTGTTGTATGTTGCAACGGGACATTGACAGGATGCAGAGCTGGGCAAAGAAGTGGCAGATGGAATTCAACCCAGAAAAGTGTGAAGTGATTCACTTTGGAAGGTCAAATTTGAATGCAGAATACAGGTTAATGGCAGGATTCTTGGCAGTGTGGAGGAACAGAGGGATCTTGGGGTCCATGTCCATAGATCCCTCAAAGTTGTGACCCAAGTTGATGGGGTTGTGAAGAAGGTGTATGGTGTGTTGGCTTTCATTGGCAGGGGAATTGAGTTTAAGAGCTATGAGGTTATGCTGCAGCTCTATAAAACTCTGGTTAGACCACATTTGGAATATTGTGTTCAGTTCTGGTCACCTCATTACAGGAAAGATGTGGAAGCTTTAGAGAGGGCGCAGAGGATATTTACCAGGATGCTGCCTGGATTGGAGGACAGGTCCTATGAGGAAAGGTTGAGGGAGCTAGGGCTTTTTTCATTGGAGCGAAG